ACAGAGACAGACAGAAAGACACACAGAGAGAGACAGAGACAGACAGAAAGACAGAGAGAGACACACACAGAGAGAGACAGAGACAGAAAGACACACAGAGAGAGACAGAGAGAGACAGACAGACAGACAGACAGAGAAAGAGAGACAGAAAGAGACAGAGACAGAGAGGGGGGAGAGAGGGAGAGAGGTATTTGGTTAAAAAACATGAGAGCCACTCAAGAATGCTGAATTTTTCCTCCCATGCTTATGGAGATTAGCAACCTGGATGATTTGATTCTGAACTTGTTTTTTTTCTCCAAGGAAGAGGAGAGGAGAAAGGCTGTTAAAATTGTTTGGAAACCAGGTAGTCTTAAAAGTGCCAGCTACGAAGGACAGCGGAAAGAAAACCATCTCTGCACCCCGAGATTTATTTTCAGTTTATTTATTTATTTATTTAATTGATTGATTGATTGATTTATATGCCAAGAGTTTAAATCTCTTTATAGTCAAGAGTTTAAATCTCTTGACTAAATTTCATTGACAGTAGGCATGATAGTAATAGCTCTTAGACTAATATACCACTCCACAGTGCTTTCCAGCCCTCTCTAAGCGGTTTACAGAGTCAGCCTGTTGCCCCCAACAATCTGGGTCCTCGTTTTACCAACCTCAGAAGGATGGAAGGCCGAGTCAACCTTGAGCCAGTCAGGATCGAACTCCTGGCAGTGGGAAAGAATTAGCCTGCAATTCTGCATTCTAACCACTGCGCCACCATGGATCTGCTGGCTATGTAAATCTGTATTTCCTTTCACTTATAGGGGGTTGGGTATAGGGGGTTGGAGATATTCCTTGAAATGGAATCATTCCTATTTATTTGCATTAGAGTTCGAATCGTCTTGTCTTTGATGGTTATTTACATGCGAGTCTTCCAAGGAAACTTCTTGGGGGATTGTCTTAATCTTCAAGCCAACTGGAGACCATCAACGAAAATCATAATAGTGCTTTGATATCTCATCTGTTCCCTTCAAACTAGGCAGGACAAGACTTCTCACTTGTCTCTCCAGCGTTTTAGTATTGTTCTTCTTCAGTGATGAAACCCCAATTTTTTTACTAGCGGTTCTGTGGGCGTGGCTTGGTGGGCGTTGTGTGGCTTGGTGGGCGTGGCAGGGGAAGGATACTGCAAAATCCCTATTCCCTCCCCACTCCAGGGGAAGGATATTGCAAAATCTCCTTTCCCACCCCATCCCACTCTGGGGCCAGCCAGAGGTGGTATTTGCCGGTTCTCCGAACTACTCAAAATTTTCTCTACCGGTTCTCCAAAACCGGTCAGAACCTGCTGAATACCACCCAACCTTCCTGTAGGGAAATGAACAAGATCTTTTTTCCCATCGCCGGGTTCTAGTCTAGAGAGCAGAAAGGGACGGTAAAATAGGAAGCTAGAACAGCGGGAAAACAGTGTTTTCTCAACACAGATCCTTGATTGTCCCCTCAGATCTCATCGGATAAACAGCCTGCATCCGTGGACAGCGGTTGCAAAAATTTTGCAGCAGTGATTACGAGGATGCCAAAATGGCTACCGGTTATTGCACGAAGTTTTTCGGGCAATAATGAAAATGTTTTAAGATGCACACCTCCTTTGACAGCCGGCACAGCAGCAAATTACTGTATTAATACAAACAGTCTCGAGATGGCATTGTTCCGATAAGTGCAGGATTTTATGGATTTCATGTGCTGGAAGGTTACCATTCCTTCGTATCTTCGTCTATCCTCAGTCCCGGAGCCAAATTCTTCCACATTTAGCAGGGTTTAAATACTATTTTCACCTCCCTTGCTTAAAAGCAAGTTTCTGATATCACCAGGAAGCCGATACAATTTTAATAAAAGTCATCCCGATCAAGTATATACTATCCTGCACGCCTCCTATTATTAAACATAGAATCAAACCTCACTCTGCTATGCAATTTTTTTTTTCCTTTTCTTTCCCAAATCTGCGTGGAACAATTCGGCACGTACCTGCTCTTCATTGGCCGGATTGCAAAGGTTTCTCCTCTCCTTCGACTTAACAAGCAAAGTATTATTTTAGCCCCAGCTTATTTTAAAACCCGTTTGAAATTAGCGGGGAGGAGGGGTTCCACACACACACACACACACACACACATTTTATATTTGTCTTTGCCCCTCTCTCGTGTTTGCAATGAACAGATTCCTTTTTAAAAATTTCCTCTCGCATCTTTCCAGGCTTCAGCCCAACGTTAAAACATTTTTATAGGTAAAATAAATGTCCGTTTGGCAAGTTGGACCCTGGAACTCAGATATCTCTGTACTGTATCTCAGAACAGCTTCTGTATCTCATGCGGTGTCTGCCTTCCAGCCAGACGTTGGGAAAAACTAGGATTTTCCAGCCTCTTTTGAAATGGAAACACTGCCTTTGAATTGGCCGAGAACTTCGTCTCGATGCTCAGGATGATTAAAGTGTGAATCCTGGTCACTACAATTAATACAGCCCTGTATATATTATCCATGTGCATCAGTGGTGAAATCCTCTGAGGATTTCCTGTTTTTCTAGCTAATATAAATCCCGTGGCACAGCTGATCGTTGGATATACCGGTTCGTCCAAACTGGTAGATTTTATTACTACCGATTCGCCCGAACCGGTCCAAACCGGTAGCATTTCACCCTGATGTGCATACATTCACACCAATCGTTTTTACATTTTTTTTAAAAAACAGGCAAGGGTTGGGGTGGGGGGAAACAGAGGAGGAGACCCAAAGTTTAAACAGCTTTGGCTTTCACCTTTTGCAATTCACAGCCTCATAATAGAGAAAGAGAGCAAGAGACCAAATGGATTTTTATCAGAATGTCATTCAAATAAAAGGTTTAGCATTTACATCACAAGAGCTAGCCAAGGGGAGGCGAGTCGCTCCTGAAGGAAAAGAAATGCCAGGAATAAACATTGGAATAATAAAATAATAACATGCGTATATGTAATATGTAGGGAAAAGTGGACTTTTTGTGTTTTTTTCCACGGAATCTCAAAGCGGACAATGGATGGAATGGATTCTTCAGAAAAGCTCTATTAACACGTTGAAAATAAATGGAGCGTTAACATCCCTGAAATGACACCCGGTTCCATTTTTTTTTAAAAAAAATCCATAAATGTCACAAATCAGAGGAATAACAAAGACTGAGTGGCAGCCCCTAAAATATACAGACAGAATGAGAAAATTTGTCCTTCTTGCCCTAAAAGAGAATAAATTAGTTATGCCTTAAATTATTTTTGTCTTTTGCTAACAGGTGATTTTGTTTTAAGAAGCAGGTGAGGATGGAAGCTAGTTTTTATGACGTGTTAAAAAAAAAATCTCTGGGCAGCCTTTATAATGTAAACAAAGACATTATATTTATGTGAAGCAGTTTTTTTTTTTTTTAATGTTTAATTCTACGGAAACCAGATCTGCTCCAATGTGTGGCACTTTCTCTGCTGAATTGCTGCTGAATTTGTTAGTCTACAGCTGATTTCCTGTATTACAAAGTCTTAGAGATTATGGTTAACTTGAAGAAACAGCTAAATTTTTGATACTTATCCCAATATATAAAAAGCCTAAATGTTTATCCAAGCCGACTTTCCTGAAGACTGTAGCTCAATAGTGCCCCCTGCTGTAAAACTATATTAAAGAATATATATATATATATATATGTATGTATGTATGTATGTATGTACGTACGTACGTATGTATGTATGTATTGTATGTATTGTATGTATAAAATTAAATGTTTGGGACTCGGGACAGGTACGAAAGGGGAAGTATAGGGAAGAGAGAACGTCAGAAGTCCAACGATAATAAGCAAGAAAATGTATTTAAGGATTTTGGTGGAAACCAATCGGCCTTACGGAGGATGATTCGCTCCTGTCTTTCGCAAACGGCTCCGATGAACGGCGGTTCACAAGTACAAAGTCATGAAGCTGTCCATTTGAGATTTAAATTAGAAGCAGCTTGATCGTTGTTTTTTTTTAAAAAAGGGTTTCCCAGATCACTGATAAATATCACCTCGAGTCCCTCTGAAAGGCGATAGGCCCTGTTTCTAATTAAACCCACAAGGCAACGGCACCCCATTTGTAAAGGACACGGCCCTTGAGAATTGCTTGGGCATGAGAGATTTTTTTCCATGTTCCTGACACACAGCAGAGATAAAGTAACAACCCGACAACTTTCCTTGGCCTTTTCCCAGCCTGTTGCAACGTACAAGAAGAAAAACTGTAATTGGAGAGAGAGAGAGAGGAAGAAGAAGAAGGAGAAGGAGAAGAGGAGGAGGAAGAGGAGAGGAGGAGGAGAAGAAGAAGAAGAGGAGGAGGAGATGAAGAGGAGGAAGAGGAGGAGGAGGAGGAGGAGGAGGAGGAGGAGGTAGGAGGAGGAGGAGGAGGAGGAGGAAGAGAAGAGAAGAGAAGGAGAAGGAGAGAGAGAAAGCTAAGTTCTTACCTGCCCAATCTACTGAAGGCTGAACTGTTTGCAAAAGTGTTTTCCAACTTTATGACAGTTGCCGACAAATTAGTTCTACGCACTGCCCTTGTTGTGCTTAAAGAACTTCAAGAGGGAGGAGAGGACAAAAAATTAACAAGACACAGGCACCCTTGATTTTCACCTGAGGCAGAATTCTGGGTTCGGATCGTCCTCAACTTACGACCATAATTGGGACGGGGATTTCGGTCGCTAAGATAGACATAGAGACTATCTGGCAGAAAGCAACATTCAACCTGTCTTTTGAGAGGCTGGGTTGGTGGTTTTGAATCCTTGCAACGGTTCTTTCAAAGAAGCTTCCGTTGACTGTTTCACCTCTTATTTGGGAGAGCAAAGAAAACGGAAGAATTAGCTTTTTGGCCACTGAATTTCAAGGCTGAACTTTAGGCATGATTTGAGGCCACATGGTTATAGGTTGCTCAGTTGTGTAAATTTAGTAATTTGGAAGCAACAGTACATAGAAGTCCAGAATACAGTCCTCAGAAGCTAAGACATTGAGAAGAACATACCATGAGCTCCATTTGTCTCCATAAGACTTCCAGATCTGCCATTGGCTGGTCCCACCAGTCAGTACATCTTCTGTACCGTTTCCCCTGGAACCAAAACTGTCGTAGCCATTCAAATTCCACCTGTAAAAATAGAGATTTTTTTTTTTAAAAAAAGAAGATTGACAATGTGGTTTATAACAGTCTCCTTTTTTCAGTTGAGTTCAAGTCATGGTCATCATATGGACAACGTTTTAAGAAGTGTAGGAAAATGGTTTGCATAGCTTTCTATAGGATTACCCCCCACACACACACCTTTAACATCCTATAAAATCGAGTAGTGTCAACCCCTAAACATTGGCCAGTCTGAACTCTGTTTAGATCATTCTCCGGATCTCTGAAATCTGCTTTTCCAAAAGGCAATTGGACTTTCTTGGATTTTTCTTTGAAAAAGTTTCATTTCTCATCCAAGAAGCTTCTTCAAAACTGACTGATGATTGGTCCAAAGTCACCTATGTGGGTTTCATGAATAAGACGGGACTAGAACTCACTGTCTCCTGGCAGTTGGCCCGAAGTCACCCAGTTGGCTTTCATAGCTAAGGCAGGACTAGAACTCACTGTCTCCTGGTGATTGACACAAAGTCACCCAGTTGGCTTTCATAGCTAAGGCGGGACTAGAACTCACTGTCTCCCAGTGATTGGCCCAAAATCACTCAGTTGGCTTTCATAGCTAAGGCAGGACTAGAACTCACTGTCTCCTGGTGACTGGCCCAAAGTCACCCAGCTGGTTTTCATGGTTAGGGTGGAACTAGAACTCACAGTCTCCCACTTTTTAGCAGGATTCCCTTAACCAGTAAACCAAAGCGGCTTTCTCCACTTTACAACGATGTAACAGGTAATAAAAATTCCCAAGATAGTTCGAAAACAATCCAGCTCAATATTTGACGTTGCCGAGAGCCCAGCTCACGCAACCCAAATCACGCAACATTCAAGATTTCATCAGCAAACACAGTTCCTTTTCCTTTGTAAGTCTCGGCTCTCGATGTTCGTTCTTTCTTTCTTTCTTCTAGATTTTCTTTTTTTAAAGAAACTTCAAAGGATCGTCAATTCTGATCCACTGGAACTGCCACTATTTATCTCTGCTACTGTGGACATGTTTATCACACCCAAGATTGGATTCCATCTCCACCTTCACCTGTGACCACAAAGAAATGTGTTCTGTTTATCCTACCTGGCGTTGTGATGGGCCCCCAAACAAAGAGAAACTTGGAGATGAAGTCACATCTCACTTTCTGCAATTAACTTATATATATATATATATATATATGTATTCACACCCCTGCTTCCTCCTCCTTCAGGCAAAACAGAAGGGATACCGAAGTCTTGAAAGTGACTTTTAGTTGACAGTTGCTAAATACCTGTTTGATGAGTTGTAACAGCTTTCAATAGACTTTGTTTAAAACAACAAAAGAAAGAAAGGCTGTAGATATAAAAAAAAAATAACAAAAAATACAAGAAGGCAACCCTGTTTGTAAAATACACAGACGGATTAGTGGACTCCGGTTAACAGAAGTGGATGTTCGCCTTTCAAAGAAAGGTTACATAAATAGTTTAACTTATTATACAAAGTTAAGAATGCATGTTCTTCTAGGACAGAGTTCAGCCGAAGTTTATTTAACCTTCGGTATTTAAAGGTGCTGTTTTATTTTTAGGAGAGACGTATTTAAAGCCATTCCTTCTTTTTTTATTTTATTTTTCTTAAAAAGTTTTTTTATTTTTTAGACAAACAAACATTTTAATACATCACTTATCTCTTCCCTGTGACATCTCGGTGTTATCTTCCAAAATTCTTTCTTCTTCTGTATAGTTGTCATTTCTTCTATCTTGATCCCTATCCAATCCATAATATCAATTCATCACTAACATAATATTCTATTCATCTCCTTCTTTTTTTCTTATGGGATGATAAAGGAGAGAGAGGAAAGGAGAGATGGTCTCTATAGTTTTTAGTATTTAATGGGAGAGGGAGGCTTCAAAACAATTTTTGGTTCCTGCTGAGACAAGTCCCTGCAGTTTTCTTGGGAAGAATTCAGAAGTGGTTGGCCATTGCCTCCTTCCTGGATCTGAGAGAGAGGAACTGGCACAAACTCACCCATCCTGCCAAGAAACGTTCGTAGAGTCAAGGTGATGGTTTTCCCAGTTGCAATGTAAGGCTGGGAAAGTTGGACCATAAGGAACGCTGAGCGCCTTTGAATTGAGGCCTTTGAACTCTGGTGCTGGAGGAGACTCCTGCGAGTCCCTTGGACTGCAAGGCGATCAAACCGGTCAGTCCTAGAGGAGATCAACCCTGACTGCTCTTTAGAAGGCCAGATCCTGAAGAGGAAACTCAAATACTTTGGCCACCTAATGAGAAGGAAGGACTCACTGGAGAAGAGCCTAATGCTGGGAACGATGGAGGGCAAAAGAAGAAGGGGACGGCAGAGAACGAGGTGGCTGGATGGAGTCATTGAAGCAGTCGGCGTGTGTTTAAATGGACTCCAGGGGATGGTAGAGGACAGGAAGGCCTGGAGGAACATTGTCCATGGGGTTGCGATGGGTCGGACACGACTTCGCAACTAAAAACAACAACACCCAGCAGATTTCACGCCTAAGGTAGAACTAGAACTCACAGCCTCCTGGTTTCTACTATATCAAATTGGCTTTCCTTCTTTAATGCGATGGAACGTTGTCCAGAATCCAAAGAGGTTCGAGAAGCTGAACTCCGTAGGAACAAGAGACAACGGAACTTTAGACAGTTTCCGTAAGAGAAAAGTGGGCGAGGACAGCTCCTCCTTAATAGTTCCCAGAGCGTATGCTATTTTTTTTTCTCCAGTCTTTTTACTGTTGCAATGAAAAACCCACTGAAAGCAAACAAAAAACAAAAAAACAGCACCCACCGCAGTATGCATTGTCGAAGCAGAGCGGCGTACAGATTCCCCACTTTTAAAAGTCTTGATCTTCTCTTGCTTGCAGCACTGATTTTACCTCCCTGTCACATCAACCCCTCTCGGTTCGCCCTTTAAGCCGTTATAAAAGGCGCACTTTGAGAGCGACGGTCAATAAGGCCTGGGAGAAAGGCCACAGAGCTGCGGGCTGACATTTGGCGAGCCCAGGGTGGCATCGGTCCTCGGTTAATTATTTAAAGGCACTTGGCTTATTAAATGCCACCCCAGGGAGTGAACAATCCTTCCTCTCTTCGAGGTCCAGCAGGACCACCGACTGAGTTGCCATTTCGGTGCAATGCGCTGGAAACACACACATTAGCCTCGGACATCAATGGGCTTCCCAGCAGCAGCCTAACCGTTGAGCCGCAAAACACCTTGGCAGCATGTGTTAATTTCAGGATCCAGGTGCAAGTCAACCCCAGTGAACAAGCAAGGTGTCCTATTTTACACACAGGATGCAAATAAGCTGGCCGGTCGAACTTTGCTTCTAGACTGTGGATGAGACAGCATCTTCCAAGACTAGCATGGGGAACTTCGTATGGTTCGCCAAATAAGAGCCGCCGTGGCGCAGTGGTTAGACTGCAGTACTGCAAGCTACTTCTGCCAACTGCCGGCTGCCTGCAATTTGGCAGTTCAAATCTCACCAGGCTCAAGGTTGACTCAGCCTTCCATCCTTTCGAGGTGGGTAAAATGAGGACCCAGATTGTTGGGGGCAAGAGGCTGACTCTGTAAACCGCTTAGAGAGGGCTGTAAAAGCACTGTGAAGCGGTATACAAGTCTAAGGGTTATTGCTATGATGAGCACAAAATTCCAGGATTTACCTCCGTAGAGACACCACATCTGGTGTGAGTAGGTAGAGCAGCTTAGTGGTAGACTCTCCAATTGCCATTTTGAGTTGATTGGAACCTTTCCCCCCCCCACCCCCAAATCTGTTTTCTCCAATGAAAGCTTGAGGATGCTTATTACATAATTTCCAACCATAAACACATTATTGGTTCAGATTTCCATGGGGAGAAAAGGAACAAAAAATACACCTAGAATTAACCAAAACAAAAAAGTAGTTCAATCTGCACTTTTTCTGTAAAAAATTTATGTCCAGTTTCCTGTGCCCAGCACCAAATTGGTTTCCTTGCAGTTGTTTCATGATCCAACTAGGTAGCATCATCAGTGCTAGAAGGGAGTGAGGGAGGGGGGGAGGAGGAGGAGTGGAGTTTAGGAGGAGGAGGAGAACTGTGGGGTCCTTGGTGCTCTCTGAGTCTGGATATTTCCTTGCAGACAGTTCACGACAAAACTAGCTAACATCGTCAGCATTAGAAAGGAGTGGGGTTTGCTCTCTTATTTATATACAAATGGGCTTGTCCTGTCAGTGTTGGTGGGAGTGGAAGATAGGAAAGCTATGGCTTTGAGAGAGATACAGAAAAATATCCATCCTCTTTTCACTGCTCAGTTGAGGAGTGCAGAGGATTGCAACTTCCTGCTTTTACAAGCAACCAGCGATAGATACCTACTACAGCTTTTCCCCAATCAAGTGGGCTCCTCTCGTCCTCAGTCAATACATTTAGGAAGGCACCGGATCAAGGAAGATCCCGAAACAGAAAAGTGACCCACAGAGCCTGATGTTGAAGCTTTTATTCATTTGGAAAGTCCTCTAGAGCAGTGTTTCTCAACCTTGGTAGCTTGAAGATGGGTGGGCTTCAACTCCCAGAATCCCCCAGCCAGCAGTGCTACACCATCTTCAAGCTTCCAAGGTTGAGAAACACTGCTCTAGAAAGACACAAGTTTTAGGCCATGGAGTAACGTCACATAAGCACACGGAAAATCAGTGGCTGTACTTTTTTTATTTAATAACCAAAAGCTGAAATTCTCTGGGTCAGCAAACAGCCAAAGTACCTCCATTATCCTAAAGTAATTTGTACACTCTAAAAAAAAAAAAAGTCGACATCCTGGGCCTGACAATCTGCTCTCGGATTCATCCTTTCTGCCAAGAATCCAGTCCTACTTAACATTTCCCAGTCAACTAAAGCCAGGTGGGCAGCTGATGATGATTTATACGGGCTCTTTGATGAAACTGGGCTTGGAGATCAAAGCCTCCAGAGCTGCTTCCTCGATTCTGTGCCATCCAGATGTGTGGGGATATAACTTCCAGAATACTCAAGAGTTGGGGGTGCTGTGGGGTGTCACCCTAAGGTAGCTGGGGAGCTGAAGCTGGAGGAGGTCAAGACCTTCTTTCCTTTCCTTTCCTTTCCTTTCCTTTCCTTTCCTTTCCTTTCCTTTCCTGTCTTGTCCTGTCCCTTCCCTTTTCCTCCTTTCCTTTCCTTCCCTTCCCTCCCCTCCTCCTTTTTCCTTTCCTTTCCTTCCCCTCTTCCTGCTTTCCTTCCCTTCCCTTCCCTTCCCTCTTCCTCCTTCCCTTTCCTTTACCTTCCCTCTTCCTGCTTTCCTTTCTTTCCATCCCCTCTTCCTTCTTTTTCCTTTCCTTTCCTTCCCCTCTTCCTGCTTTCCTTTCCTTCCCTCTTCCTCCTTCCCTTTCCTTTACCTTCCCTCTTCCTGCTTTCCTTTCTTTCCATCCCCTCTTCCTTCTTTTTCCTTTCCTTTCCTTTCCCTTCTCTTTCTTCTCCTCCCCTCCCTTTCCTCTCCCCTCCTCTCCCCTTTTCCTTTCCTCCTCTTTTCCTCTCCTCTCCTCTCTTCTCCTTTCCTCTCCCCTCCTCTCCTTTCTGTATTTTGGGGTCACAAGAAAAAGAACCAAGAAAAGAAGATACCCATAAAATGCTTCTGGGGATGTAATTATGTTAAGATTATAAAAATCTTCCCTTCTACTGATAGATGTGCTATAATCAATCTAACCTATAGTGCCCTGAGACCTTGCCATTTTTGATGCTAAATGCTTGTGAGGGGACCTAAAACCAGCCCGATGATCTTATACAGAGTAGAACCAGACAGCAGGAAAAATTTCTCTACTTTCTAGCATCTGCAGCATTGCCACCCTTTCCGCCTTCTCACCTCATTGTGAGTTTTTTCCACTCGCGTTATATCTCCGACCTCCAGTGATTTTAAGGACGGGACCTTCAAATCAGCATCGGTGTTCAAATTCTTCAGCGCTGCCTTGCATTTGTCCAGAATGTATGGCAGGGTCCCTGTTGAGCACTGTTGGAATTTACAAACAAACAAACAAAAAAAAAAGAAAGTTAGTGTGAAAAGAAACGTGGATTTTTTCCCAGGCATGGGAAGCAGGTGTGAAATCCAGCAGGTTCTGGAGAACTGGTAGCAGAAATTTTAAGCAGTTCGGAGAACCAGCAAATACCACCTCTGGCTGGCCCCAGAGTGGGGTGGGAATGGAGATTTTGCAATATCCTTCCCCCAGGAATGGGGAGGGAATGGGGACTTTGCAATATCCTTCCCCTGGAGTGGGGTAGGAATGGAGATTTTGCAGTATCCTTCCCCTGCCACGCCCACCAAGCCACGCCCACCAAGCCACACCACGCCCATCAAGCCACACCACGCCCATCAAGCCACGCTCACAGAACTGGTAGTAAAAAAATTTGGATTTCACCACTGATAGGAAGCCAAAACCAAGTAAATCCTATTGTAATTTAGTAGTTACCAGTTTAACCGAAATCTGCAAACCATCATTTACAGCTAAGAAAGGGCTACTCCTCAAACCACTGTTAAAATGAATCAAGTGCAAATTAACTCAAGCTCAGTACAAGTCCTTCCAGGAATTTAAGAGAGTATTTGAACTATTGGTTCTCCTAACGGGCCATACGTTAAGTTGCAGATTTATTGCTGAAACCTATGCACAAATTACTCGAGTTCAATACTAAAATTGGTACCAGATAAGGGTCAGCAGAATTCAAGAGGGGTTGAACTTGGTCCATTTGTGGGAACGTAATGACTCTACGCTAATGACTCACTTAACTCCACCTTCTGGCTCTGCTTGCTCTTCTATACCTACTAGATTTGTTTGCGTGTGCGTGTCTTCTTAAACAACGCACTTGAATTGTGTTTCACAGAAAAAAACAATTCAAGCGCGTTGTTTAAGAAGTTTTTCAATCCAAAATGTCAAAGGATAATCAAGATCACTGTGCGTATTCAAAATGGACCATGAAAAGGACAATAAAAGTTATCTTACCTCTTATCTACTTTTCAGGACTATCTAGTTACTATGCCAAAATTTCCAGCCCTTGAGATTGCCCACAATGTTTTGTTACTCACTTCTGCCACTCTGTGTGTGGAGCTAAATCTTGACTGCCGGCCAGCTAATACACAATGTTGGTGAGTCGTATTCAGATTATCTAGAAAAAGACCATTAAAGTACAGGTAAGTATTCACCCATGAAGCCATTGGTGGAAACAAGAGAGGCCTTAATCGAAGGTAGGGGCTGTTTCTGATAATACAGGTAACCTGCAACTTACAACAGTTCATTTAGTTACAACGGCACCGAAAAAAGCGACTCATGACCGTTTTTCACACTAACAACCGTTGTAACATCTCCATGGTCACTTGATGAAAATTCGGATGCTTGGCAACTGGTTCGTGTTTATGACGGTTTGAGTGTCCTGGGGTCACGTGATTCCCTTTTGCGACCTTCAGACAAGCAAAGTCAATGGGGAAGCTTAACAGTTGCAGTCATTCACTTAACGACTGGGGCAAGAAAGGTCACACAATGGGGAAAAGCCCACTTCCCCCATGTTTCACTTAAGCAACAAAAATTTTGGTCTCTCTCCGTCGCGGCTGTAAGTCGAGTTTTGCATGGTTGCAAAACTATCCGTCATTATTTCAAAAGCAGGGGTGAAATCTACTTACCTTCCCTACCAGTTCAGAAGTGCACACATGCATCACATGCACATGTCACATGCACGCACGGACCCTCTGAGCATGTGCAAATATTTCTGTGCATGCGTAGAGGGTAAAAAACAGGTTACTTCCTAGTTAAAACCAGGAAGTAACAACGACCGGGCAGGTCTACCGAACCGGTCACTACCGGTTTTCTGAACCATCCACTGCCATTGCTACCGGTTAAGCCGAACCGGTCAGTACCGGTAGCATTTCACCCCTGTTCAAAAGTCAACACGCTCCTAAAAAAGAGAAATTATTCTACAGTAGCCAGAAGAAGAACATTGAAGAAGACCGAGCCATGGGGGAGAGAGAAACCCTCGTGTAATTAATCAACAGAAAACCGAACAAGACGTTGTAAGCTTAGCAAACTGGCAAGATCAAAGCCGGAGCGGCAATAAATACATTTCAGGGGCTCAGGATGGTTGGAAAAAAAAAAAAAAAAAGACATCGGCAGCAGCAGGCAGCTCAAAAGTGGCGTCAGGTTTCCGAAGCAAAACCGCTGGCAGGCATCTGTCTACTAAAGTGTTCCCAGTTAAGGCTGTAATTTTCCAACCACACGTCATTTCTACTCAAGGGTGCTCCCCGTTTCTGGTTAAATGGGAAGACAAGTTTTTGGATGGGCCTTGAAGTCTAACGCACACGGCCCCCTGATTATGTTTACTCCGTCTTCTTCTCCACCAAAGGGAGGCCAGTCGAATTTATCCCGGAGCTGCGTTTAAACCTCTAACCTTCAGGGCAACATTTGATCTATCAGAAACAGCTGGGCTTCAAGCGTGTGTATTTTCGCTTTTAGAAGGCACGGGAGCGAAAAATTGCGAACGCTGGGGGTGGGGACCGGCTTGCAAAATCCAGCTTGCATATATTTCTTGGGGGTGGGGGGGGGGGGGGGGGAAAAGGGAAGAGGTTTCAATCACCGGCGAAGGTCTAGGACCGTGATGGCGAATCTATGGTACACGTGCCAGAGGTGGCACGCAGCGCCCTCTCTGTGGGTACGCGAGCCGTTGCCCCAGTTCAGCTCCGCCGCGCTTCCCACCAGCCGGCTGGTCTTTGGGTCTCTGCCATGCATGCATGGGCGGGTGGGGTGTGTGCGGGGGGGCACATGTGCATTGCATTTTGAGGGTTTGGGCACGCACATGCACATTCGCGCACACGGGTGCACGCTTTGGGCACTCGGTCTGGAAAAAGTTAGCCATCACTGGTGTAGGACAACGTGACTTCCGTGCACCATTCAGTAGAGTGAGTGTAGGTCATCCTTGACTTACGACTGTTTGCTTAGTGACCATTCAAAGCCACGATGGCACGGAAAAAAAGGAACTTATGACTGTTTTTCAATTTAAGACTATTGTAGCATCCTCAAATTTCAATACAGGTGATCAAAATTCAATATAAGTATTCCTTGACTTATAAACAGTTCCTTTAGTGACCGGCACTTTTTAAAAATGACCGTTTTTCACACGTACGACTGTTGTAGCACCATGATGATCACATGGCCAAAATTCAGATATTTATGATATTTGCAGTGTCCCGGGGACACGGCGACCTTCAGACAACCAAAGTCAACAGGGAAGTCAGATTCACTTAAGTCCGTGTTACAAAATTAAAAAACTGCGGTGATTCACCTAACCCTTGTTGCAAGAAAGGTTGTAAAATGGGGCCAAACTTACTTAACAACTGTCTCGTTTAGCAACAGATATATTGGGCTCCATTATGGTCCTAAGTTGAGGACTACCTGTATACCAAAATATCAAAATGCCACTGGAGAACAATTGTTATCTAAAATAGCAAGGAAATGTTTATGGAATTGCCTTATGGTAAAATCTGGGTTTGTAAGTGTTAATTCCCTTCCAAATTTATTAAAATCACCAGACAACGTTTTGCATAAAAAGATCATCAGTAGTAGGAAATCCAACTTTCTGGCCTTTTTTTAAGTCACACCCACTCCAATAGAAATCTATGGATTAGACAATGCTTATTGTTATGTAAATTGGAAAAATGGGGGAAAAAAAGAAAAAAAAAGAAAAAAAAGAAGTCTATGGAGTTTTTACACTAAGCCTCCCCCCTCCCCCTGTGCACGGATTCTTGTGTTCTGATTGTCTGTTTACTTATGATGTCATTAAGCCCCCCCCCCGGGTGCATGGAATTCCCCGCGACACAAAATTGAAAACACATTTTTTTAAAAAAAAAAATTCTACTATATAAAATGGCAAAGTAATATTTACTTCCTGAACTGAAAAGCAGATGATGAAAGGTAACAAGATCAAAAGCAGAACAACTGGGAACAAACCTGAGATTTTGAAACTGCTGGTTGAATTCAGAATTCAAGAATCCGTGCACTGATGGCGGGAGGGGGGAGGGGCTTAGTGTAAAAACTCCCATAGACTTCTATTGGAGTGGGCGGGGCTTAAAAAAGCCAGAACGCTCAATTTCCTACAACTATCATCCACTCACTTGGCACGTGAGTTTGATTAACACATTATAGGAAGCCGGTAAGATACTTCAATTGATTCAGCGTTATGCAACATCTAACACTTACTGCTGGGATAAATTACATTCTATGATCTAGGCAGGATTTTTCCTGAAGGGCCAAAGCTATGATACAGAATACGATTATAATTTGCATGCACAATGCACTGTATATTTGTTTAATGCACATTTTTTTTCCCCCTAGTGCGAGTCGTTTTTGCTTAGCATCATAATTTATGGCAAACAAACACAGCTTGGGAAAACTTTGGCTGTTTTCTCACAACTTTGATCCCATCCCCTCGTTCATCAGGAGAAAAGCTCCCCGCGTTCTAGACCTGGAGGAAATATCGTTTCGATACAGCTTTAAATATTGTGCAAACCCATAGTGTGATTAACCACAGTGGGTTTGCTGAACCATAAAACATAGCTGGCAAGTCATCACTAGGTCGATTCCCCCCAAAACACTAAGCTAAACATCAATAAGCCATTTACAGTGGAGCAATGAGATTTATCTCTGGAGGGTTGAGAAATATACAATATACCCACTTTTCGACCATAATTACAGTTGGGTTATAGTCCTTTTTTTTCAAGAAAAGCCCAGGAATAACAGAACAACAGAGTTAGAAGGGACCTTGGAGGTCTTCTAGTCTAGCCCCCTGCTCAAACAGGAAACCCTATAACATTTCAGACAAATGGTTGTCCAGTCTCTTCTTAAAAACCTCCAGTGTTGGAACATTCACAACATCTGGGGGGAAATAATTTCATTGATTAATGGTTCTCAGTGTCAGGAAATTTCTCCTTACATCAAAAAGAGAGAGAGAGGGAGGGAGGGAGGGAGAGAGGGAGGGAGGGAGGAAGGGAGGAAGGGAGGAAAGGAAGGAAGGAAAGGCAGGCAAGCAGACAGGCAGGCAGAAGGAAGGAAAGAGAGAGAGAGAGAGAGGGAAAGAAAGAAAGAAAGAAAGAAAGAAAGAAAGAAAGAAAGAAAGAAAGAAAGAGGGGAAGAGGAGGGTAAAGGGGAATAGAAAGAAAGAAAGAAAGAAAGAAAGAAAGAAAGAAAGAGGGAGGAGAGATGGGAATAGAATAGAATAGAATAGAGTAGAGTATAGTACAGTAGAGTAGAGTAGAGTAGAGTAGAGTAGAGTAGAGTAGAGTAGAGTAGAATAGAATAGAATAGAATAGAATAGAATAGAATAGAATAGAATAGAATAGAACAGAACAGAACAGAACAGAATAATAAATGAATGGAATGGAATGGAATGGAATGGAATGGAATGGAATGGAACAGAAATCAGAAATCAGTAAGAAATAGAAATAGAATATCAACGCTGTGTTTGAATTTACCTAGCATAAGGTAGCAGTCTCCCTGGTGAAGTGGAATTGCTAAGCCTGGCGTCTCTATATCCCAAGCAACTTTCAAGCCAACATGCCAAACATCTGGATCTCTGCCAGCTGCAGATTTTTCTTCAAGGACTCCACCATCAACTTCTGAAACAAACAAACAAAATAAATAAATAAATAACTCTTCAAATACAAGAACAAATTCCATCCTGTAGAAGTTTTTAAAAGAACAAGGAAACCACAACATCATAAAAGAAATTTGAACACTTAAGTTGGTGAACAAACTGTTGACTCCCATCTTCCAACTTCATGTTTACAACTGGGTGGATGTGTGCACATTGCACCGGGTTACAATTTTGTGTGACGCCCCCCTTAAGAGACCCACAAACGTTGGCTAGTTTGTACAAGCTAAGTTGCAACAAGTGAGATTCCAGCTGTGTGATTCCATCCTTAACTTTCGAACTTCCCTCCGCCAATGGATAATAGAGCAACGTTTAAGAATACTACTATAATAATACTCTACTATTAATGGCCTAATCTTCATTTCTCCAAGAAACATGGGAAGCTGCTATGGTAGTATGTTACAATATAGTAAAAATATAAAAAAAAGAAAAAAAAGAAAAGAATTAGAAAAAAGAAAAGAAAGAAAACAGAATGTTGACTTCTGTATTTCTATCGAATAATTGCTAACTTTGCTGTTAGCATCCCTCGGTGCAATTTTCATTTTTGTTTTGCTTTTATAGAAAAAAAAACTGCAAATAAGCAGTAATATGTTCAAAACAGAAGAGAGAATTTAAGGGAATCAGATCTGAAGGATCTCTCAAAAAAGCAGGCAAAAGCAGTGAAAAAAACCCACCGAATCTTAAAAAAAACCAACCCAACTTGGCAAGCATTTCCATATTTTATGACTGACGTGTAAAACCCCGATCTAAATAAATATCCCATCAGCCATAAGTGATGAACGATCTCAGCATTAAGAAGCTGAGGTCAGCACCGGTCTCTCTCTCTCTGTGCAGGAAATAATGAAAGTTATAAATCTTTTTTTTTTCCTCTCAGTTTGGGGAGTTGAAAAGTTATGATAAAAATAAGAGAATGCAGAACGATTGCTCTGACGACTCCTTGCATGGCGGTAAAAAAAAAATTAATTTGCTTGCCTAAGTAAGGCTTTTTCCCCCTTCTATAGAGTAGAATAGAATAGAATAGAATAGAATAGAATAGAATAGAATAGAATAGAATAGAATAGAAGACAATACAATACAATACAATACAATACAATACAATACAATACAATAACAGAGTTGGAAGGGACCTTGGAGGTCTTCTAGTCCATCCCCCTGCTTAGGCAGGAAACCCTACACCACTTCAGACAAATGGTTATCCAACATCTTCTTAAAAACTTCCGGGGGGTGGGGGGGGCAGAACCGGTTCGGTGATGTCATATCGTCACTGCTACAGGTTCGGCGGAACCGGGCTGAACCGGGAGGAACCCACCATTGCTACATACCTTCAATATCCACAACATGTACATAGACTTCATATAAGTGAATTCAAATGTATGTACGTATTTATTGAAAGCATTGATAGAGCCGCTCATCTTATAATCGACTCTTGCCAATGAATAAGATGAGTTAGGCAGGATGTGCAAAGCTGAATTCGTGGTATAGTAAAAGAAAGAAACAAACTGGATATCTTTTTGACGAATGGTTGGTTCTTTTGCCCAAGGAAGCTTACTTGTCTAAAATTTTGAAAAGAAGAATGAACAAAGACGGAAGGAATGGAAAAATCCTAAAGAATGAGGAATGAATGAAAACGGCTGTTGTAAATATCCAGATTGTTTCTGATTAATGCTTAGGATTCATGCGCTTTCCCCACATCTGTGTCCATACATATAGCCTCGTGAGTCAGCTTATAAGACACTGACCAGGCCTCTTGCTAAGAAGGCAGCCAAGGCCCTTGTAAAATAAAATAAAAATTGCTAACTCTCTAAGGCAGTGTTTCTCAACCTTGGAAGCTTGAAGATGGCTGGACTTTAACTCCCAGAATCCCCCAGTCAGCGCTGCTGGCTGGGGGATTCTGGGAGTTGAAGTCTACCCATCTTCAAGCTTCCAAGGTTGAGAAACACTGCTCATGGTTGTCCTAAAGCTGCTTTTTCAAAAGGCAACTGGACTTTCTTTTTCCTTGAAGAAATTTTGCTTCTCATCCAAGAAGCTCCTTCAGTTCTGACTGAACGGTGGAGAATGGAAGGATTTATATTCCTTTACATTCCTCCTCTTTACAAGACAGTCCTTTCAGCAGTTCCAAGAAGGTAAAACACGCATTTGCACTACTCAGATGACCCAGAGAGCACAGATAAACCTCCAAGCGGCCTCAATGACTCTCAGAAAGAGCACTAATGACCAGAGGACTGCAAGGAATATCAATCCTTCCATTCTCCACCATTCAGTCAGAACCGAAGAAGCTTCAAGGATTAGAAGCAAAACGTCTTCAAAGAAAAACAAAGACCGTCCGCTTACGTTTGGAAAGAGTACCTTTGGGATAAAAATCGCCAACATTTCTTGCGAGAAGTTTGTGAATATCTCCCATTTTGCATGGGAGACGCCCAGATTTGTCAGTAAAAGGTACCTCTATAAACAAACAAATTTCAACCAAATTTGGGTCATTTTCTTACATGTCTATAAAACTGAAATGCAAATTCTCTTGGCGATTGGCACCTGGGTGGGTGCCTCTGAGGTGAAGCCAATCTTACTTTTTACGGTTATCTTTCCAGATTCGTTCCAGAGCTGACATCTTCTACATTTGGATTACTGCTTGGAGATTTTTATTTTTTAAAAAAATCCCAGAAAACAACTCCTTGCAGCCTTTTTAAATTGCTGTTAACTGACCTTGCATCTATTAAGCAGCAAATAGAAGGGATTACTAGTCAATTATCAATCCCCAGGAACATTCCAACCAGTTTATAAAATCATTAGCAACCAAGAAAGCTGTCAGAAGTTCTCACCAAAATCCAACCCACGGTGCAAATTTTACCTAAAGCTGCTCGACTTAGTCAAGATTCTTTCCAAAAATATTATTTTATTATGAATGTTCTTTGTGCAAAACGCGCACACACATATACAAAAAGAAGTCCACGTTATGAAAGGCCTTTCACAATCGGTCAAAAACCGCAGTCAATCACAGGTTTGTTAGCCTGTTAAACATTAACTTGTCAACTAACAGATTCAGTTGTTTATTACGGTTCAAGATTTACGCACTTCAGTAAGCCTTCAGAGGCAAGTTGCCAAAAACAACACCCGTTAAAGCATCTACCCAGAAGGATCCTTTACATCTTAAAAGGCACAATCCAAGTTGCTGGGAGGAAGTTGCACACAAGAGAACTATATATTGCAGCATTTCTTCGCAACAGCTAGCAAGTGATTCATGAAATAGTCACCCAAACACGGCTTCCAGTTTCAAGCAAAACATTCTTATATGTTATATCCTTGAATGGAAGAGCTCCATGTGACTTTAGATTCCATTTTGTAAATCTACCTTCCTCCCCATGGTATTCTCAGGAACAATATCTAGCGATGGATGGAACTAGAATGCTTTGTTTGGCCTAAGATGAATAGACACACGAGGAATTTGTCTCTGGTGCAGAAGCTCTCAGGGTACATGCAACGCAACAGAAGATGATTACAAAGAAGAAGAGGTCAAACTATTCTCCAATGCCCCTGAAGGCAAGAGAAGAAGCGATGGATGGAAACTAACTAAGGAGAGCAACCTAGGAGAAATTTCTTAACAGTGAGGAAAAATCAACTAGTAGAACAACTTGCCTTAAGAAGTTGTAGGTGCTCCATCACTGGAGGCTTTTAAGAAGAGACTGGACAGCCATTTGTCTAAAATGATTCCTGCTTGGGCAGGAAGTTGGATTAGAAGACCTCCAAGGTCTCTCCCAACTCTGTTATTCTGAATAATCATAATCATAATAGGAGGTAGCAAAGAAGATAATAAGAAGGATAAATGTTGTGACCTACGCTTACTGAGTCATTACAAGACACAATTAGTCCCAAATAAACCTACTTTATTGTAACAGTTGAGAATTACGTTCATTCCCAGCTGAGTCCCAATTAGTTGCAAAACAAGTCCTTCGGAAGAAGTCCTTCAGGATAATCACCAACCTTTATCTTCTTTGACACCCTGCCAAAGGCCTTATTTGGCAAAGCCCCACGAAGTTCAGAAACAAACAAGAGATGCTGACTGGAAACAGAGTTAGCAATGTTGCTTTCCTGCAAAAAGGCCCAAGTGACTTTGTTTCTCTTTTAAGCCTTATGGGAGGGGCCAATCATCACCTGGCCTTACTCCCGAGTCGTCCCTTTTGCTTTAGCTGCTCTTGCCTTCTGGCACCTCTGCGCATGCGAGCACTAGGAAAAAGCTCCTCCTGTTTCTCTGCCTCTCTGCTGTCTGACTCTGGGGGCTCCAGAGTCCGTGCATCACTCCCAGATGGCCCTGGTCCCATCTCTGCCTCGGATGCAGAGCCCTCATCCGGGCCTTCCCCAGGCTCCAGGACTGGCCCATGTTCCTCCCCAGCCTCCTCACTGCTGCTGGCGGACCACAACAATAAATAATAATACTACGGCCATTCAAACTGGTTAAATATACATTAGACAGCACTGTTGTGTAAACTCATGGATTTGAAGGTGGGTTGGAGAAGAAGAATGAATCTTCTGGTAACCATCCCAGGTTGATTTTTAGACAAATCAAGAGCTATGGGTGATCTAGTACGGCCCTGGAACCTTAGGCGTTTGTTCCGTTGTGCGATGCGTTCTTAGTTTTGTAGCCAGATGCAATGCGTACAGCACGTATTCTGTATTTTTATTGTATTGGACGATGCCCTAGAATTGAGTGCCAATAATACACTGGTCGTAGTAATAATAGAAGCCGTACTATACAGTGATTATTATAAATAGCTCTCATATAAATAGAACTACGAGATTATATTACGCAGTAATTCTGTAGACGTGATACGGTGCCTGCTCTAAATGAACTCCACGTATTTAGCCTAAAGAATGAATGCTGACAAGGGATCAACCAGAGTCTGCATTTCATACGTTGTTTCAAGGCCGAAACTGGGGTTTTAGGTTCCGAGTCAGTGAGAATTCAGCACACATAACGTGAAAGTATACACTGGAGTTTATTTAGCCCAAAATAGCATCTTTGCCTCTTACAGCATGACAGGGGAATGCTGTATTGGAGAGTAACAGGCTTAGATTGTCAAGACATGGGTGATGGGTAGATATTAAATCCACAGCTTTGGGTCCCCGAGATTTATAACGGTAGAAGCTATTAGCTTAAGTAGACCAGTGAAATCCACCTGTCATTAGAAGACATGAAATACGAGACAGCTTTTTGAGTGCTAACAGTCACGTTTTTCAGGGACAGCATAAATCAACAACAACAAGTTTAATTGTAGAATGAAACGGGAGGTTGAAATCAGCTGGAGGGAGAAAATGATCGGGATGTGCTTGGAACAGCCAGAGAATCGTGGCTGACTCATAAAACGTTTTGAGAATCCAATGAAGACTAAAAAAATTGTTTACAGTGGAATTCTGGAGTTCTAGAAAACGTAGTTTGAATATTGTGGCAATAGACTTACACTTCTGTGGTCCTTAGAACTCTGAGCTTGGTTGTTTTCTTGCAGAGATTTCATTGCCCAGCTAGGTAATAGCTGCGCCTCCCACCAGCCAGCTGGTCTTCGGGACTCTGCTGCGTATGCAGGGGGTGGGGTGCATGTGCGGGGGTGCGTGCGTATGGGGGGGGTGCATGCGCATGCTTGGGGCATTCGGTGCCGAAAAGGTTCCCCATCACTGGTATAGAGTTTACATCTGCACTGAAGTTTAAGCTTCTTCCATAGTTTGCTTGTTTGTTTGTTAATTGATTGATTGTATGGTGAAAACGTTAAAAAGTGCATCAAAGCTGCATTTTTTTTTTTTTAATTTTTACTTTGATTTATATGCCGCCCTTCTCCGGAGACTCAGGGCGGCTTACAATGCGTTAAGAAATAGCCTTCATACTTTTGTATATTTATACAAAGTCAGCTTATTGCCCCCACAAACTGGATCCTCAATTTACCTACCTTAGAAAGGATGGAAGGCTGAGTCAACCTTGAGCCTGGGGAGATTCGAACCTGCAGAAATTGCAGGCAGCTGTGTTAATAACAGGGTGCATTAAACCACTGTGCTACCAAGGCTCCTATCAAGGCACTTGCTATGATATGAATCCTGTCCTGATGGGTTTGTTTCATGATACAACCTCCAAGTGGCCTCAATGACCCTCTAAAAGAATGCAAATGACCAGCTGTCCGCAAGGAGTATAAATCCTTCCATTCCCCACCATCCAGTCAGAACTAAAGAAGCTTTTTGGATGAGAAGCGAAACGTCTTCAAAGAAAAACCAGAAAGTCCAGTTGTCTCTTGGGACAACCATGACCTGGAGGACCGACAATCTCCACAGACTTACAACACAGCTTCAACTTCCTTGATCTAATCTAAAGATGTTCACAGCACGTTCTATCATGATATACGTCCCATTGTGGCTTCCTTAGCCCATCATGGTGCTAACAAGTTTTTGTTTTCCTGTTCAGATATGCGAAAGAGGTAAAGGTGACTCAGAGCGAATACACCGTCTCGTACTGAAACTCCTGCACCCTTACTCCTCCATGTAGAAGACCCCCATTTTCCAAGCTATGGCATCTCACAGGACCATAGCAAGTTTCACATGTTGGGACAAGAATCCACACGAGGTTGCACGAAACAAAGATAGATTTCTTCCCATGCTACAGCATACTGTGGCTTGCATACTCTGTGCAAAGAAAGGAGAAAAGATTGAAACAAGCCCGTCACTCACAAATCAAGTCCAACAGAAGAAGGTGTCATGTTGGCTCTAACACACACAGACACAGAGTAGACGCCTTGGAAATACGGATCTGTGAGAAAATGTGGCACAGAGATTGTAGGGGTTTGGTTTCCTTGGCTCCTGACCAGCAGTTTAATTATAGTAACTTTTTAGTCCACTTAAAAGTGCTCAAGATAAGCCCAGGGGTAGCAAAATCACCCAGCTCTCTGTTTGACTGCCTTCTTTTTTTTCTCTTTTATTCTTCCATCTTTCCTCCCCTCCTCAAAAATATAAGCAAAACGTCTTCAAAGAAAAACCAGAAAGTCCAGTTGCCTCTTGAAAAAGTACCTTTGGGACAACCAGGACCTGAATGATGGAGAATCTCCATAAACCAGTGATGGCTAACCTTTTTGCCATCGCGTGCCAAAAGCGGGGAGGGGGGAAGCGCAGAGGGGTGTCGCACGTGCCCACACCCATAATTCTATGCGCCCTGACCCCCCAGTGCATGTGCGCACGACCCCCCCCGCCTTTTGGCACGTGATGGCACGGTGGGCCAGGACCGGAAGTCAGCAAACGGGCCATTTCCGCCCTCCAGAGGGCCTCCGTGGGGGTGGGGAAGGCTGTTTTCACCCTCCCCAGACTCCTAAAAAGCCTCTGGAGCCTGGGGAGATGAAAAATGGGCCTTCCCCACTCCCCGCGGAGGCCCTCTGGAGGTCAGAAACAGCCTGTTTCCTGTCTTCTGGTGGGCCCAGAAGACCTGAAAATCAGCTGGCCAGTGCACATATGCGTGCTGGAGCTGAGTTCGCGTGCCCACCAATATGGCTCCACGTGCCACCTGTGGTACGCGTGCCACAGGTTCGCCATCACGGCCATAGACTCTTTTATCGGTAGATGCCATAATAATACATATTACACACACACACGTCCACAAACACTGAAGAAGCTTCTTGGATGAGAAGGAGAAACTTCTTCAAAGAAAAACCGGAAAGTCCAGTTGCCTCTTGAAAAAGCACCTTTGGGACAACCATGACATGGAGGATGGAGAATCTGGAGGTTGAGAAGCATTGCATTAGTACATACTAACTGTACTTAAGTTGATGTTCCTACAAAAAAAAACCTTAATGAGATCAAGTTAGATTTTTGCCCTGGGTCTGCTCATTTTTCTTCTCATGGTTCTCACCAGTTTTTTAAGTTTTTCTGGGGGTTTTCCTGGGGCACCCGAGCCTGAAGGCCAAAATAGCTTTTGCTTACAGAAAATTGCACCCCCTCCCACCTCCACCTTCAAACAAGATTGACTTTGTTAACTTGCTTGCCACTCAACGGCTCAACCCACCTTCCCTGCTGTAACTGTAGACTGCCACTGTTGACCTTTCCATTAGATTTTCATCGTGGTGCCAACTCACAGCCATTCTCCCCATGCCAAAATAGGGCTCCAGTTTCAAGGACGGCATTTTCTGGGGATCCATATAATTTAATAACGTCAGGTTGTAAGATGTTCTCTCTTTCAGGATGGTGGAGTCAATCTTCGGGACCGGGGAAGGATTTTGATCTTGCAAAACAGCTTCCAACTCAGTAATGTTACTAGCGTCATCTTGATTCCCGTCCCCGAAGGGTAAATCCTGCATTCTTGTTGTCTCGGCCAAATCCTGCTCTTGCAAAGCCAGCAAAGTTTCTCTCTGCAAGTAGTCATTAAGCCTGCTTAAGGCATTACAAGCCAGGGATATTTCAGGATTTGAATAGTTGATGTCGTAGCCTTCTGTGGGCCAAGGGACTGTAAATAACCTTGTGTTCAAATATTTGTAAGTGCACCCTGGGTTCCCGATTAATATGCGAGATACGGGGGTAACAAAATCCCTCCCTTTGATCCTCACAAGATCTTGGAAGAAACAAACATGCTTCCGTAAAGCGAAAAAGGCCTTTTGGACTTCTTCGTGAAGGTCTTGAGGGATCTTCTCCGAGTTCTTGAGGATAAGTTTGGAATATTTAGTCTTCCACTAAAAAGAAAAGGAAAAAAATAAATCATTCTGATCACTTATTTGATGCTTATGATGGAGGGAATGTTATATTATAAATATTTCAACTGAATTACCCATCTGATCCTTTGTCTATGAAGATTCTCAGTCATCCAGGTCATGGTTGTCCCAAAAGTATTTTTTATTGTCAAGAGACAACTGGACTTTCCTTGTTTTTCCTTGAAGACGTTTCGCTTCTCATCCAAGAAGCTTCTTCAGTTCAACTTCTTCAGAACTGAAGAAGATTCTTGGATGAGAAGTGAAAGGTCTTTAAGGAAAAACAAAAAAAGAATCCTGTTCCCTTTTGATAAAGTACCTTCGAGACATCTGATCATTTGGAAACTGCTCAAGTGCCCTCTAAAAACCCATGGATCCATTAGAGACCCTGGACACACTGATCTACTAGGGCTTCCTCAGGGCCGAAAGGGATCATAGTGTGAAAGTCCATAGCAATCGGAGAGGGATCTGTCCATGACAAGGTGCCAAACTCAGTGGTCCCCTCCCCAAAATTTTCAGACTGTCAGAGTATATTCATGAACTGGAATAGGACATAGCAACAGGTCAGCCAATGAGGGCTGTTTGGTAACTGAAACATAGTATTTGTTGTATGTTGATTTCACTGCTGGTCCAAAGTTTTAACGGCACTGGAAAAAGGTGACATATAATTGGTTTCACACTTAACGACGGTTGCAGCATTCCCAGGGTCACATGATCAAAATTCAGAGGGTTGGCAACTGGCTCACATTTGGCGACCTTCTGACAAGCAAAGTCAATGGGGAGACCAGATTCACTGAACCAGGTTACTAATTTAATACTTACAGTGATTCACTTAACAACCGGGGCAAGAAAGGTCATAAAATGGGGCAAAACACACTTAACTGCAACAAATTACAGGCTCAGTTGTGGTCATGTTGAAGGCTGCCTATCTGGTGACTGAAAGAAACATTACTTTATCATAAGAGATAAAAGTGTACTACTTTTGGACTTGTGAAGTTAAGCATCCTATTAATACATCTTAAACACTGCCTGCCTGGTTTCAGTGCTTTGAAAGAATTTTTTTAGAAAAGAAGAAAAGAAAAGAGGAAATGGAAACACATTTCTAACACATCATCTTAAAACACCAATCAGGCTTCTTTCATTCTCTAGCCAGGCATCCTCCTTTGTCCTACATAAGGAAAACATTAAGAGATCAGAAGACAAAGAAACGTTGAAAGGAAAAAGAGAAAAAGAAAGGAAGAAAGAAAGAAGGAGGGAGGGAGGGAGAAAAAGAAAGAAAAAGGAAGGAAGAGAAAGGAAGGAAGGAAGAAAGAAAGAAAGAGGAAGGAAGGAAGGAAGAGAAAGGAAGGAAGAGAAAGGAAGGAAGAAAGACAGACGGAAGGAAGGAAGGAAGGAAGGAAGGAAGGAAGGAAGGAAAAGAAAGAAAGAGAAAGGAAGGAAGACAGACAGACAGAAAGAGAAAGGAAGGAAGGGAGGGAGGGAGGGAGGAAGGAAGGAAGAAAGGAAAGAAATAAAGAGGAAGGAAGGAAGAGAAAGGAAGGAAGAAAGACAGACAGACAGAGAAAGGAAGGGAGGGAGGGAGGGAGGAAGGAAGGAAGGAAGGAAGGAAGGAAGGAAGGAAGGAAGGAAGGGACGGAAGAAGGAAGGAAGGAAAGAAAGAAAGAGAAAGAAAGGAAAGGAGAGAAAGAAAGAAAGAAAGAAAGAAAGAAGAAAGAAAGAAAGAAAGGAAGGAAGGAAGGAAGGCAGACAGGGAAGGAAGGAAGGAAGGAAGGAAGGAAGGAAGGAAGGAAGGAAGGACATCATCAGGTGCATACAGGACATTTTTATTGATTGAAGGAACAAAAACCACGTCACTTCTGCTGTTATCTGTGACAGCTAATATTAAAGGTCATCCCCTTTTCTTCACACAGATCAAAGCAGCCCTAAATGGATCTTCCCCTCCACCCACCCAACCCCCCCCAAAAAAAGCACATAAAAGTTTTCAGGCTTAATTTTTTTAACATTATGCCAGAACAAAATCTAAGACGCCCGGAGCAACCCGAGGTCAGACGATATATTTTTAGCCGTCTAGAAATCATACTACCACCTTCTCTGTTTTTGTTTTCTTCAAGTCAAGATGACCTTGTCACTCTCAAGTGACAACAGGAGCCACAAATTCTGCCAAGCCAACTTTGGCCAAACAAGGGTGGCGCCCCAGCTCTCTATGGGGAGATAATAAGATTTGGATCAAGAAATTGAAGACATTTCTAAATGGCAGACTTCCCGATTTGGAGGTCCAACGTGATGACCTCTACCTACATGGAGACCAAGTCCTAAAAAGATCCTTAAGTAAGAACTGTTGCTGCATCTGTTCAAACTAAGAAAAAGTCTCTTTTTTAAAGTCTTTCGTTTGGCATCTTCCAACTTAACCTAAATGGAGGAGAGGCCATCTTGGAAAATACCATCCCATAATGTTATGCTGTTGTATGTTTTATTGGTAAGGAGTGGCACGGTGGCCGAGAGGTGGAGCTCTCGTCTCACAATCAGGAGGCTGTGAGTTCTATCCTAGGTAGAGACAGGTATTTCTCTCGCTGGGCACACTGAGAATATATCTGTTGAATATAACTCCACATTGGCGATAGGAAAGGCATCCGGCTAATAAATACTCAGCTCCATTCAGTTGCCCAGACTCCACCCCACAAGGGATTACAGGGTCATTAAAAACGACCCCAAAAAATGTTTTATTGGTATTGAACAGCGTGGTGACCGAGAGGTGAAGACACTCGCTGTCAAGTGAAGAGAAAATATCTGCTATCAGGGCACAAAGAGAAAATATCTGCTGTGAACTCCATGTAGGGGTCAGGAAGGGCATCCGGCCAGTAAATGCTCAGCTCTGTTTAGTCACCCCGACTCCACCCGAAATCAAGGAATTACAAGGGCATAAAAAGAAAAAAACCCTTTAACTTTATTATATTCTTCCATTTTTAATGTCTTGCTTGGATGCTATACTAAGCACTTTTAGCCATTCCTGTAAAAGGTAAATGTTTCTTTGTCCAGTTGTGTCTGATTCTAGGAGGTTAGTGCTCATTTCCATTTCTTCTGGCCTCCATTTCTTAGCAAGGGAGCCAGACTCTAGAAAGAGTGCAGAGAAGAGCAACAAAGATGATTAGGGGACTGGAGGCTAAAACATATGAAGAACAGTTGCTGGAACTGGGTATGTCTGGTTTGATGAAAGGAGGACTAGGGGAGACATGATAGCAGTCTTCCAATATCTCAGGGGCTGCCCCAAAGAAGAGGGAGTCAAGCTATTTTCCAAAGTCCCTGAGGGCAGGAGAAGAAGCAATGGGTGGAAACTAACCAAGGTGGGAAGCAACTTAGAACTAAGGAGAAATTTCCCGACAGTTAGAACAATTAATCAGTGGAACAACTTGCCTCCAGAAGTTGTGAATGCTCCAACATTGGAAGTTTTTAAGATATTGGACAACCATTTGTCTGAAGTGGTGTAGGGTTTCCTGCCTAAGCAGGGGGTTGGACTAGAAGACCTCCAAGGTCCCTTCCAACTCTGTTATTCTATTCTATTTATTGTCCGAAGACATTTTCCATGGTCATGTGGCCAGCATGACTATACACCAAGGTGCACAGAATGCTTCCCACCAAAGTGGTGCCTATTTATCTACTTGCCATTTGCCTGCTTTCAAACTGCCCAGTGGACAATAGACTCCTAACTTGATACCTTCTAGATAACTTAAGAGAGTAACTCTCCAAATACTCAACAAACTCAACATTTTTAAGAATGCCAAATTGGTGGAAATTCTCCATAATTTTAGATTGGAGTCTTTTTAATCCTATTTCAATAGACCCGAGATTTTTTTTTAGGTAAAACATAATATCTAAATCTGAATTACATAATGTTTCTCAACATATGTTAAGTGATAAATTTCTAACTGCTGTAAAAAAGAATAACCCTCTTCCATCAATCTTTAGAAAGAAAAAGGCAAAAAAACCTGCTCTTTTCTTCCTGTAACAGTGGGGGGGGGAAGGTGGGGACCATTAAAAATGCATCTTTCGACCACATGTCAACATAAGAAAAGTTGACATGGCTATAATGTAGGAACTCCTGCCGTAGCTGTTCAAACTGAGAAAAAGGTTCATTTTTATGTCTTTCATTCAGTATGTTCCTACTTAATTGGATAGAACTTACCCATGTTTTCCCATGTGTTTCATATTTGTCCAAACTGTTGAAGAAAAAGTTTGCACACTTTTTTCCATTTCTTCAATAACCCCTCCTTTTTTTCTACCAGTATGGATTTATGTCTATTCATATTCTTCTCTGGCCCAGGTTTCTTATCTTACTAGGACGGAGACGTTTATCCAGATCTAGTCAAACTCTTCTGAATCACGTCCCTTTCTCTTCAAACTCACCTTCGTAATTGAGACATCCCATATACCCGCTACTGCATTCGCAGAGGAGACACCAAGAAAGGTGAAGACCACAAGCTTCAGGTGTGGGCAACCACCTTAAGTTTATTTACTTTGCCAATGAAGAGAAAATGAAACAAAGGCCTCCTTAAACCATGCATTAAAACCAGATCACCTTTAATCCACTTGGAGATATTTGTTTAACCAGTTTTAAGTTGGGAAGTTTCCTCTTGTTCTCTCCCTAAGTAGGGAGCTGAAGAACAAGATGTAAAAGGAAAGAAAAGACAAACAAATGCATTGTTAAGGTTTCTCAAAATATGTTACGCTGATCTTTTGAATATTACCAGTTGATAGAAGCCAGCGTCTTTTGGCGTCAAATATGGAAGGCAGCTCTCACCAAGTTCATTCAGAAGTTTTCGTTTCTACAAAGACAAGAACAATTATATGAAGGTGAGTAAGATTCAAAACCTCTATTAAAAGCTCTCCAGATTTTTTTTTACAAACATTATGTAAACAGAGCAAACCTGTAGACCATTCAACATGTGAATAGTGAAAAGAGCAAATGTACAATACAAGTAAAAGATTCCACCTCCCCAATATCACATAATTTGAGAGTAAATAGAAGTAGTGTGATTTCAACCCGATAAAGTGATATCAGAGATCAAACCAACAGTGAAAATATGAGTCAGGCATAAAAAGCCTCCAAAAAGTCAAGAAAGCAGCAACTATTGGATGAGTTTATTGGCCAGAGAGGGAGAGGGAGAGAGAGAGAAAGAGGAGAGAGAGAGAGAGAGAGAGGAAGAGGGAAAGGGAGGAAGGAAGGAGGGAGGGAGGGAGGGAGGGGGATAAAGAGATGGGGAAGGGAAGGGAAAGGGGTGGAGGGGTAGGGTGAGGAGAGGAGAGGAGAGGAGAGGAGAGGAGAGGAGAGGAGAGGAGAGGAAAGGAAAGGAAAGGAAAGGAAAGGAAAGGAAAGGAAAGGAAAGGAAAGGAAAGAAAGGAAAGGAAAGGAAAGGAAAGGAAAGGAAAGGAAGGAAGGAAAGGAAGGAAAGGAAAGGAAAAGGTGAAGGAAAGGAAAGGAAAGGATGGAAAGGAAAGGAAAGAAAAGGTAGAAAGGAAAGGAAAAGGAGGAAAGGAAAGGAAAGGAAAGGAAAGGAAAGGAAAGGAAAGGAAAGGAAAGGAAAGGAAAGTTCAGAAGGAGCAATGTTTATGTATGTACAATAAAAGAATATTGAGCTAGTAGAGTGAGGATATTTCTCAAGTGCGGGGTAGCACTATATCCTGACAATTTCTTTGTCAAATGTTAAGCTCTTGGCATTAAAATGCACTCTGGAGTGGAAGTAATACCAGCTCACATGTGATTGTCAGATCTGACTAAGCGGGTGCTCTCAGGCTTGATGTGCAGACAAACGCACACACAGCTGGGGTAGTCTAACACACAGCTCTTCTCATATGCAGGGAGCTGTCACACATGTGTCAAATACATCAAGCCACTTGCAGATTCCACCAAAATAAAATGGAAAACAAAAGGGGTGGGGGCAGTCTTGGGGAGAGAGTGCCTGTTTCACCAACCGGTTGGTTGATAATGTGTTTATGCGCCTGCAATGCGCCTGGATATACACCATGCTTGCAAAATCTCAACGGATCAAGAGCTTTCAGAAACAGAAATTAATTCCCCGACAAAAATAAGCGCGGTGCAGATTTTAAAATGCACGTTTAATGGGGGTAAAGAATGGCCTTGTCCAAATTAAAAAAAAAAAATACTTTCAAATAACCAGGGTTGCATCTGCTTGTCTCACTTTTTCCCCAGTTTTTTTCTCGCTGCGTGAATTTTTTATATATATAAAAAATACTCTCCATGCGGAAAATAAAAATAGAAAAGTGAATTGCTTGCGAGATTGTCTGGTGGGGTATTGCTGTGCTTGAAGTCAATGTTGACACCTTCAGGCATTCTTCGAAGGGTGTGCAGGAAATGAAAAATAAGTTTTGTTTTAAACACGGAACAAAACAGTCCCAGTCAAAATTCAAAAAGGATGCGAGGGTTCCGTGTTCCAATGAGCCAAAAGTTTTGCGTTCTGATCCCTAGGAAATGCTGTGATAAGAAAGAAATAGAAGGACGGAGTTGGAAGGGACCTTGAAGGTCTTCTAGTCCCAACCGCCTTCTCAGGCACAAAACCCTATCCTATGTCAGACAAAGGGTTGCCCAACCTCTTCTTCAAAACTTCCAGTGTTGGAGCATCCACAACTTCAATCAAAAGAAGAGAGTCCAGTGTTGGGGTTGGTTCGGTGGTGAAATTCAAATTTTCTTTACTACTGGTTCTGTGGGCGTGGCTTGGTGGGCGTGGTGTGGCTTAGTGGGCATGGCAGGGGAAGGATACTGCAAAATCTCCATTCCCTCCCCACTCCTGGGGGAAGGATATTGCAAAATTTCCATTCCCACCCCACTCTGGGACTTGCCAGAGGTGTTATTTGCTGGTTCTCTAAACTACTCAAAATTTCCGCTACCGGTTCTCGAGAACCTGTCAGAACTCGCTGGTTTTCACCCTTGTGTAGCACTGATAATGTTACCTAGCTGGGCAATGAAATGTCTGCAAGAAAACAGCCAAGCTCAGAGTTCTAAGGACCACAGAAATGTAAGTCTATTGCCACAATATTCAAACTACATTTTCTAGAACTCCAGAATTCCACTCTAAACAACTTTTTTAGACTTTATTGGATTCTCAAAACATTTTATGATTAGCCACAACTCATAGTTCTCCAAACTGTTCAAAATGTATGTTTTATTTATCTATCTATCTATCTATCTATCTATCTATCTATCTATCTATCTATCTATCAAGCATATATAAGATAACAGGTAAAAGTATAAACATAATTTGAATACATGAAAAGAGTAAGTAAAAAGGAGTATTAGGACAGGGACGATAGGCACACTGGTAAACTTATGCAAGCCCCTTACAGACCTCTTAGGAATGGGGTGAGGTCAACAGTAGACAGTTTAAGGTTAAAGTTTTGGGGGGTTTTGGGATTAAACTACAGAGACAGGTAGTGCATTCCATTCATTGTTACTGAAGTCATATTTTCTGCAATCGAGTTTGGAGCGGTTTACCTTAAGTTTGTATCTATTATTTGCTCGTGTATTGTTGTGGTTGAAGCTGAAGTAGTTGTTGACAGGTAGGACATTGTGGCAGATAATTTTATGTACTATGCTTAGGTCAGACTGAAGTTGGAATAGTTCTAAGTTATCTAAGCCCAAATTTGGAGTCTGGTGGCATAAGGTATTTTATTGCGGTTAGAGGAATGGAGGACTCTTCTAGTAAAATATCTCTGAACTCTCTCAATTGTATTTATGTCTGATATGCAGTGCGGGTTCCAGACAGATGAGCTGTATTCGAGAATTGGTCTAGCAAATGTTCTGTATGCGCTAGTTAGTAGTACAACATTACCAGAGAAGAAGCTACACAAGATTAGATTAACAACTCTTAATGCCTTTTTGGCAATGTTGTTACAGTGGGCTCTGGCACTTAGATCTTTAGAAATGAGTACTCCAAGGTCCTTGACAGAGTGAGCGTCATCTACAAGGTCATGTAGGGTCATCTACAAGCTCATGTACAAGGTCATCAATTTCCGCTACCGGTTCTCCAGAACCTGTCAGAACCTGTTGGATTTCACCCCGGGTTGGTTCCCCTACAAATGCACTCAACTTACACTCCTAATATTAGCCTAACAAATGAAAATATGTGTGAATCATTATATGTTGATTTACAGACAACAAGAAATCAGTCTAGCGTCAGGATTTTGCTTTTCCCAGGAGGGTTTTATGCTTTATGTTCAAAACAAAACAAAAAACATCTATTTATTTCACTCGAGAGCTAGAAATCCTCCTGGCACCCAAGTATTTCCTTTTCTTCCCTCTTCCTCCTAATTGTCAAGACTATACAACACAGATGTTGCGTATCGCCCTGTCTGCTTGCCAGCATCCGAAATGGATGATTACCCTTTCACCTGTGTCAACAGAAACTTAATTGAAAGCCAAATTTCAGGTTTTGTAAGGTTTCCCCCAAATGGAACAGTGCGGTAGCCCATTTAGCTGCTCAAAAGCACTTCTGACAAAATAATGTGAAAAATTTATTCTTTGGGCAAAAAGACCGAAATTGTTTTCTTCTCAAATGCCGACAAAGCACGGTGATGGGGAAAATTCAGGAAACTGTTTTAGAGCATAAATAGGCCATCCGATTCAACATTCATGTAGTGTTGTGACCCAGGCCCAACACTACGGACCCCAAAGAACGCAGCTCTTTGCTGATGGATATTACTACCAACCTGCCTTCCATTGAGGACCTGTATACTGCCCGAGTCAAAAAGAGGGCTGTGAAAATATTTACAGACCCCTCGCATCCTGGACATAAATTGTTTCAACTCCTACCCTCAAAATGACGCTATAGAGCACTGCACACCAGAACAACTAGACACAAGCAGTTTTTTCTCAAACGCCATCACTCTACTAAACAAATAATTCCCTCAACACTGTCAAACTATTCACTAAGTCTGCACTACTATTAATCTTCTCATCGTTCCTATCACCCATCTCCTCCCATGTATGACTATAACTTTGTTGCTTGTATCCTTACGATTTATATTGATATTGTTTCCTAGTATGATTTGATTGCTTATTTGTACCTTATGACTATCATTAAGTGTTGTACCTTATGATTCTTGACGAATGTATCTTGTCTTTTTATGTACACTGAGAGCATATGCACCAAAGACAAATTCCTTGTGTGTCCAATCACACTTGGCCAATAAAGAATTCTATTCTATTCTATTCTATTCTATTCTATTCTATTCTATTCTATATATTCTACTACTAAGGGTTGATAATGAACGTTATATACAAATCACACTTTTCCAGAGTCCTTGATTCAATTAAAAGTTACACTTCATCAGGATTGGGAAACTTTTATTGGTCCAAAGCTTGAATGGGTATGGTGATATCGCAAGGTGGAAGGAATCAATCAATCAATCGTGCATATGAGAACAACTTAAGATTTCCATGTTTTCCTGGAGCTGAAAGTTCTTTGTGCACTCACACATCCAGAAGTGTTATGCCTATTTTAGCACTTCCTCTATAGTCCTCATGCATTTCCCACCTCAAAATTACAGAAACTCTTGACCTCAATTTTAGCAAGCATGGCCAGGAGTCTTTCTGGAAACTAGAAAAAGGGAGTGGACTTTTTTAAAAAAAATATGTAACTGCACAACCGTACTTCAGAATTGCGTCTGCAATCAAAAATGCAATGTCAAATTTGCAGTAACATCTAGTACGTCCCATGCCATAACTGTGTCCTGCACATCCCCAATTGCCAGTGATACAAAAAGGTGTGGCAGAGGCAAATTTGCACTGAGACTGCACGAAAGAAATCAT